TGTACATTCGAAGATCATATTATCAGTCAAGTGACCGGTTGTGGTAACGATAGCTCTGTGCGTACGATTGACTTTGCGTGGAAGTCACCGAATCCTGGAGGCGTATCGCTGCCAAACGACTGCGACGGTGGCGTGTCTACTCTCCCTGAAACAATTGCCACAAGCCGGTCCTGTGACTGGATCTTTGAGAATCGACGCACGTGGACAGCTTGGATTGATGAAAAGCCTGCGTGCGACTCGAGTTTTTATCATTACTCGGTTTCAGAGTGTGCTTCCGATTCTCTCCGCACGGTTGAGTACTTTTGGAAGCTCCCAAACGCCTCCCACCCTCAATATTCTGCAGAATGCTCGGGTGGAGACAGTCTACCTGAAAGCCTCACAGTTGATTGCGAGTACATGCCGACGTCCTCACCGTCGTTTGCTGCTATGACAGTGTTCGCTGCCATCGTCACAGCGCTACTCGTTGCTGCCATCTTACTCGTGGTCAAGAACCGCAACGCTCCTATCATCCGACGCTCGCAATACGAAATGCTACTGCTCATGATCTTTGGTGGGTTCTTCATCACCGGAGCAGCTGTAGCTTATGCTGGAAAACCTACCAGAACACTTTGCGGACTTCGCCCTGTCCTGGTTTGTATGGGTTTTACTACGATATTCGGCGCTCTTGTCATCAAATCTCTACGCGTCTACCGCGTTTTCATGAGAGCTGCCATGAAGCGAGTCAAGGTGACACTGTTGAAGATTCTCAAGATCCTCTCCATTTTTTATATAGGAGATATCGTCATATTTGTGGCCTGGTTCGCTGCTGATTTCCCGGAACCGACCATCACAACGAAAGATGCGACGGAATTTCGAGGTACCGTCGACAGAATCTCCTGCAGCTCGTCAAGCTTCATCTTCACGGCGCTGCTAATCTTCTGGAAGGCTATTCTGCTCATGTTGGGACTGTACTTGTCCTTCCTCATCCGCAACGTGTCGGTGGATTTTCAGGAGTCTCCGTGGATTTTCGGTTCGGTGGTGGTTGTCCTTGTCGGTTGCCTCGTCCTCATGCCGATGTCGTATATGGTCGACATGCGCGCGTCAACTTACTACGTGTTTCTCGCGTGCTGTCTGCTCATCTGCACGGTTTTGATCATGTGTCTGATGCTCGCGCCGAAGCTTTTCCGTCTGAAAGAAGCTGCGTCTTCAGCTTCGAGTGGGGCTAGTGGAACTCGCAGCACAGTGAGTAGGAACAGTTTGGCTGGAGGGAAGCCCCTTGCTGACATTTCAGAAACGGATAATGGTGTTTCGAGTGACGTGTCTCGGAAGTTATCACAGTATCAAGTAAGGCCACTAGGCATCGCTACGATCGACAAGAGAAACTCTTCAGCAGGGGACAATGGGACCAGCACGACAAATTGAACCTACAGGGCCATTCGAATCACCTTGTTAACCTGAATTTTTTATCATTCTGAGGCTGGTGGAACTTTGGAGTGCAGATACGCTCCTTTCAGCCATATTTGATGCGTTTCTCAGTGTTGCTTCACATAGTAGGAATGCCAACGTGAAAATGCAAATCTGGTAAGGTTATCAGCAGTTTTTTTTTACTAGATGCATTTTTACAGAACAGGTTAAGCTAAGCTCGTGACAATTGGTTTGCGCAACGGAACATTCATAGATTAGAATAATTGTTCTCGTAAGAAGGCACGTTCCGAGAACGACCAATAGTTCCACAATTCCGAGAAATGTTTCACTGTCAGCTCTGCGATCAAACTCCTGGAGGAATAACACATATATGTCATCCCCTTCATCTGCTTGTGTTGAAAATCTGAATGTAACACATTAAGAGTTGCATTATCCTGAAGAGGCCTAATTGTTGTTCCTATTGCTGTTGTTATCAAGTGGTCTCACTTGGTATTGTGATAACTTGCGAGGTACGTCGCGGGAGGCATCGTTTTCTGTTTCAGTCCCGTCCGTAGATAGAGGTTTCGGTCCGACCATACTGTTTCTGCTGTGGGCAGCAGTAGCCCCACTCGAAGCTGAAGACGCAGCTTCTTTCAGACGGAAAAGCTTCGGCGCGAGCATCAGACACATGATCAAAACCGTGCAGATGAGCAGACAGCACGCGAGAAACACGTAGTAAGTTGACGCGCGCATGTCGACCATATACGACATCGGCATGAGGACGAGGCAACCGACAAGGACAACCACCACCGAACCGAAAATCCACGGAGACTCCTGAAAATCCACCGACACGTTGCGGATGAGGAAGGACAAGTACAGTCCCAACATGAGCAGAATAGCCTTCCAGAAGATTAGCAGCGCCGTGAAGATGAAGCTTGACGAGCTGCAGGAGATTCTGTCGACGGTACCTCGAAATTCCGTCGCATCTTTCGTTGTGATGGTCGGTTCCGGGAAATCAGCAGCGAACCAGGCCACAAATATGACGATATCTCCTATATAAAAAATGGAGAGGATCTTGAGAATCTTCAACAGTGTCACCTTGACTCGCTTCATGGCAGCTCTCATGAAAACGCGGTAGACGCGTAGAGATTTGATGACAAGAGCGCCGAATATCGTAGTAAAACCCATACAAACCAGGACAGGGCGAAGTCCGCAAAGTGTTCTGGTAGGTTTTCCAGCATAAGCTACAGCTGCTCCGGTGATGAAGAACCCACCAAAGATCATGAGCAGTAGCATTTCGTATTGCGAGCGTCGGATGATAGGAGCGTTGCGGTTCTTGACCACGAGTAAGATGGCAGCAACGAGTAGCGCTGTGACGATGGCAGCGAACACTGTCATAGCAGCAAACGACGGTGAGGACGTCGGCATGTACTCGCAATCAACTGTGAGGCTTTCAGGTAGACTGTCTCCACCCGAGCATTCTGCAGAATATTGAGGGTGGGAGGCGTTTGGGAGCTTCCAAAAGTACTCAACCGTGCGGAGAGAATCGGAAGCACACTCTGAAACCGAGTAATGATAAAAACTCGAGTCGCACGCAGGCTTTTCATCAATCCAAGCTGTCCACGTGCGTCGATTCTCAAAGATCCAGTCACAGGACCGGCTTGTGGCAATTGTTTCAGGGAGAGTAGACACGCCACCGTCGCAGTCGTTTGGCAGCGATACGCCTCCAGGATTCGGTGACTTCCACGCAAAGTCAATCGTACGCACAGAGCTATCGTTACCACAACCGGTCACTTGACTGATAATATGATCTTCGAATGTACA